TTCAAAATGTGAAGAAGTTGATGTCGCTAAGGCCACACAGGTGGATCTAGCAAGTAGGTAAATACTTTCTGAAATCTTGCCCGTTGTAGAAATTATTTGGTAATTAAACATTTTAAAGCTTTGGGGGGTGTTGATGGACTGGATCTGTTTTAATTATCGTTCTAAATCCGAGGAGGACGTAGTCTTTGATAAATGTCTGCTTTTTTTCTCAGCTTTTTGCTCAAAATGTTGCTTTATGAAATGGGAAAAAGATAATGTCAAGGAAAGAGTTAATACGAGTTAATGTCTACAGCAATAATAGCAAATAGCAATAAATAAATAATAAAAAGCAATAAAAAATAAATAAATAAAAAGCAACATATAACCATTGGGAAATGTTGAGATACTCTTGAGTGATCTTGACCTTCAACATTCTCGATTGGTGAAGTCTCAAATAAATATGATTCCTGGGATCATCTACTGCTAAATCACTCAGAATTATCTCTATTCTAGTATAACAACAGCCCCTTTTTCTAAATCCAATGAATTCCAGATCAAATAAAAGCAAAGTTGAACTAAAATATATCCCAAAATGCAAGTAAAATGGGTCGTTTCACGTTGACTTTAAGAACAAAAACATGCATTATTCTACAAAACTAGGGAATCCCTTCTGGCAATAAAAGAGTTGCTTCAGATGATTAGAGGACTTCACACACCGAGCCAATGCATCTAAATCTTTGGCATTCACACTCTTTAACTCTGAAGCTATTCCAATGCTCTGCTCCAATTGTTTAAATCCAATCCTAGTTTTGTCCAATCAGGTGTTGAAAGGAGAAAACAGGGCTAGATGGAATATCTAAATGTGCATGTGTATGTACATGTAATGAATGTGCATGACTCAATCGCTGTGCATGTCTTGCTGTTTATGGGGCCAAAGGTCCCAATAAACCTTGATCGAGGAGAGCTGGTATCTCTGTGAGCGCTGGACTCTGTAACTAGGACAGACAGGTGTGCGGCAGACCCTTGGCCCCGCTGCGGCCCCTCACCGGCCCCATGCTGGGAAAGAGGTGGCCGTCCCTCTACACACAGCCATTTATCTCAATTTCAGTCTGCTCGCCGTTCCCGGATCAAACAGCACTTAAACTAAATAACCCTGCAGGAATTCACCCGCAGACTCATCAACCTGAGATACATAAGCACATCTCACATTGACCAAAGCAGACAGCCACTGCACCGGTTATACAGCATCACTTAAGACTAAAGTGTCTCATTAAAATTAAACTATATATTGCATATACTGGACAATGCAGGCAAGTTAACATTATATTTGCACGTTCATAGGTGTGAACAGGTAATTACTTTTCTCAAGGGAAAAAATGTACATTAGAGCAAAAGGTTTTGCATTTATCGAGTGTGACTAAACGTGGAAATAAGACTTCTTAAATGTGTGAGCTATATTTTAACTCACCTTTACTATCTGATATATCATCAAAACACACATCATGCGCTTACTAAAACATTCACAACATAGAGCTCCAACCCAGACCATATAAGGAAACTACACTCTAAAAAAATGCTGGGTTGTTTAACCCAATTTTGGGTCACATATGGACAAACTCAAACATTGAGTTAAAAATGTAATTTAAAAATGTAACCCAATGGCTGGGTTTGTCCATATTTGACCCGAAATTGGGTTGAAACAACCAAGCATTTCTTAGAGTGTAATCTGCAAAATTAACATGACTTCACAAATGCGTCGGCATGATTATGACCAATGACATTTACAAGACTGTTCAAGAATTGGTCAGTATGTTGGTCAACCATGCACTCTTAGAAGAAATGGTCCTATATAGAATCTTAAAAGGTTCTATCAGCGCTACGTATTTGGAAACCCTAAAAGGTTCTATACAGAATCCTTTTTAAGGGTTCAATAATAAGAACCCTTTAGGGTTCTTTGTAACCAGGAAAAAGGTTCTATATGGAACATTTTGGGTTCATTCATTATCGTTTGTTTTGTCCTTTTCGGATTAAATATTTCATATTTTTGACAAACATCAAGACCCTAAAATGTATTTATGAATGTATGTGAATGATCACAAAATTCAAGATATGTGGGTTAGAAAATGTGTATATATTTATATCATTTTATAATAAGATAATCAATATCACAGAAAAGTGTCATTTCAGTTTTTTTCTCCTCCAAAAATCAGCATGATTAAAATGTGATATTAATTTACTAAAACAGTTTAATAAACAATAATTTAATTACAACTACAAAATGTTGCAGAATAATGTCATATATGAATGAATAATAGCCTATAAAAAACCTTTGCCAAAAGGGTTCTTTCTTGTCATTATAGAACCTTTTATAGCATAAAGGAGTAAAGAACCCTATGCTTCATATATAGAACCCCAAATTAACATTTTTTTTCTAAGAGTGTGCATTATGTTCACTAAAAGTCAATTTAAAAAGTACAAACTTAGAAATCTTTTGTAACATTTCAAGGAAATTGTGTTCTTTTACAATTTCTATTAATCAAAGAATCCTGAAAAGAATTTAAGGTTTTCACAGACATATTAAGCAGCACAACTCTTTTCAACATTGATAATAATAAGAAATGTTTCTTGAGCCTCCAATCATCCCATTAGAGTTTTTTTTTTGAAGGATCATGTGATCATAGGGATAAATTATGGTATATTTTAAAGAAAACAATTGACAATTTCACAATATCTCGGTTTTACTGTATTTTTTTCATCTCTACCATTAAAATGCAACCTTGGTGAGCAGCATAATAGATTTATGAAAAATATTATAAAATATTCCCAATCTTTTGAACAGTGTTGTACATATCAACACCTATTTATTATTGACGAGTCGAGATGAACAACAGTGTTAATTATGCCAGCACACAGAAGTTCATAACACAATCATAACAGATGTCATTTACATACAGATGTACTAAAATACTCTTTAGTGTCAAGCTGAAATAAGAATCTTTTAAAAAGCCCAATAAAAATATTACAAATGACTCATGTACTACATTCCACCTCTCCTAAGCCAAACACTGGCTTTGAGTGAGGACCCAAACCTGTATTTTAGCAAAATGGATTTGTTAGAGCACAGGTTTGATGTTACTGATGATAAGGTTTTCGAATCGAAAATGTCATGACAGGTTTAAGGAAAATGACATTTGAGAGCTATAGCAAGTAAAGTCACATTTACTAATATACCGCTTTTAACAGATTGTTTCAACGTAGCTTTACATAGATAACAGGAAAATAATGCAAAGAAGTTTGTTTCCAGAAGAAAATAGCTTCACAGTAGCAGAGGTAAAGATTTTTAGAAATAACAATGTGTTGTTTTTTTTCTCAACCCTCACACAAAGCACACATCATATGGACTTTTATGCAGATTTTTAGCATTAAAAGACATGGTCAACATGGTCCCATGCCAAAAAATGTGTAATTTTGTGTTCCACATATAAAGAATATGTTTTGGAACAACATTTGTGTGAGAGAATAAATGTCGTAATTTTAATTTCCCATCCCTTTAATTCTAAAGGTCGACGAGTGGGAGGAAAATAGTCTTGAAAAACTACATTACGACCATTTTTGGGTGCAAGAAACCTTGACTAATAAAATAAGTGGACTTCTGGTGGGAAAAATAAACTGCAACAAAAGCAGAATATGGTCCATTTAAATAATTTTGTGGCTTTTGAAGCATGCGCCGCTTTAATGGACAGCGAGGGCATCTAATGCCAGTATGTTGGCGTGGTCATGGTGTTGGCATTGTGCTTTTGTTCGCTGGAACGCTTTCAAAGAGGGATAAAAAGGTGAAAATCTATTTAGTGGCTTTACGCCATACCTAAAGTGTCAAAGCGTGAACAGAATGCCGGCGTGCGAGAAAAGAGACATAAAAATAGAGAAAGCACTGATGACAGATAAGGCAGATCTGGCGTTATGCGTACTGGCAGGTAGTGTATCAGAAGCCGAGGGTGGTTGTACTAATAGTTCTAAATACACCCCATGATGAGCTATTAGAAGAGGCTTTTTGTGAATGTGATAAATAAATCCTCTTTAGTCAGTGTGACAGTAATCCCAGAGCCCCCGTGCCTCCGTTCCTTACCAATCCATCAAGCGGCGCCTGCATATAATCAGTGCGGCATATTTCTCAAATGCGTTTCCGTACGCTACAAAGACTTCCCGAACACGCAGAGACTGGATCTCTGGAAATTTCCGAGCCTGCCTTGGTCTCAGCGGAATACGTCAAACTCCGCTTCCCACGATGCCTTGTTTCATCTTCACAGGTTCAAATCTGCATCAGGCACAATAAAGGGCACTTCTGGAAAGGGCCATCGTTTATCAGAGCTACTGTATAAGCAACACGGCTCGCCTTACTAAGCCTATTACATATTGGATTTCTGTTGCTGTGGCATAATTTATTTGAGCTGCCGCGGCTCAGAAGCAATAATACTTGTTTTTGATCAATTAAAGTATGTCGTTGTGAAGGGAAAATACTCACTTGGGGGTTCTCACTGAATTTAAAAACGCCAGAGTAATTCTACCTCAAACGAACAAAAAGAAAACATGCATCAATGAGAAAGAAATCTCCTGAAAACCCAAGTATATTGTATATTTCTTGGCTGAAATAAATTCGAGAAGAGGACCACAGTTTCTGCCCACAAATTGAATAATGGATATATTTCATGAAGATTAAAGATGACCTGTTTGTAAAAGTTTGAAATTACATGAAAGTAACAATACCTATAATATTAACTATGGCATTCTGGTAGAAACTATAGTGACCATGGACAAAAAAATAAATACTGTAAGGTGGAGCAAGAACAGTGTTATATAAAAAAAAAAACTTAACATAATCTGTATCATCTATATTTTACAGTGCAAATGTTGTGTGTCTGTGTCAGTGTGTGGAGAGCTGTTGAAATGTCTGGTGTGCAGATGATCTGTGGTTTCTATTGTCTCCGATTGGCCTGAGAGATGTGGTAGAAGGGATGGATTACCATGGTGATGAGGTATGTTGTTGCCCTCCAAGGTGGAGTGTCTTGGGCCTAGTGGCGGAGCAGGAGCTTGCATTAGCAGACCTCTCCCAGTATGGCTCGCTGTGGAGAAACGTGGAAAAGCTCTTAATGCACGAGACATCGGCACCCAGAATGACCCAGAATTCACACACAAATAATGTATAACTTTGATGAGTCAAACATTTTAAAAACAATTGCATACATTTGATAAACTGATAAATAATAACAGATAGACAGATAGACAGATAGACAGATAGATAGATAGATAGATAGATAGATAGATAGATAGATAGATAGATAGATAGATAGATAGATAGATAGATAGATAGATAGATAGATAGATAGATAGATAGATAGATAAAAATAGATAGATAGATAGACAAAAAGCAGATGATTGAACTAAAGTTATGAAAATCACTGAAAAAAGACAAAAATGGTAGTATGCAAATCAAATGAATTAGTAAAGTATTTTCTTTTGAGATTTATGGTGCTAGTAACCAGAATGAGAGTTATTTACACCACATTTTGAAAGTCACAAAAGCAGCATATAAGCGTACATATTGATAATTGTGTCTTATTGAATCAGCCTCTAGAATGTTTATTGACTGATGTTAAACAGAGATTTTTCAAAACAGTAGTTTAACATTAACAAATTTTCCGGGTTATTGATTCGGGGCAATGCGATTGGCTCGTCTCCGGCGCGATGCGCTTCAGATAACGGGTGGCGTTCTAATTGCTCGGCATAAACGGCCTCGTTCGTGCATTTATCTGCGGCACTCAAACGCTAAAGAGCTTTTATTTGTTAAGGGCTCTTCATGATCCCTGTTAAACACTGGAGGTTGCTGCAGGATGAATGAGGAGGAATTGAAAGGCGAGGTTTTAGCGGTAAAGGATTGATATCAGACGGGGTGAACGCGGGCGAGTCCCTCTCTCTATCTCCTCTAGATTGATGCCTTGCAATTTACAAACTTCTACGGGCCACAATTCATTTAGCACAATAAATTCCCTGCAGGTATGGAGAGTGTCGCCATTCTACCACCAACTGAATGAAAACACCTACACACGCAACGCTCCAACACACACACACACACACACACAAAGCACTGTGTCTCCACGGCCCAATGTAGGCCCATTTTGATTTTGTTTCATGGCTGTAAAAGGCACTGTATATTGCAGACAGCGGCGGAAGATTTGGTCCATTTTTCAAAGCCGACTATATTACCCCTACACCACGCATTCTCTTTAAAAAAAGACCTATTTTTCCCCACATGTTGGGAAAACTAATCCCCATCTGGTGCATTGTACTCTATAAAATGCTCCGACATGGCCTTTCTGTGATTTCCAGGGAATCGGCGATATGATTGAAAATGTGTCAGTTTTGTAAGCAGGCCTGCTCCGGGTGCACGTGCAAAACGGCACCGCTGACCCTGACACCTCTCTGATCGCGTAAGACTTCCAGTGGACGCTAAATCCTGGTCCTATGTGACTCCTTGACCATCCTACAAGCTGAAGAGAGATATGAACCTATGCTGGATGTGTTCTAGTGACACAATAAACTGCAGAACTATTTTTTTTTTTCCTTATTTGATCGTTTCTTAATTTCAATGGCATTTTAGGAGATAGCTTGATTGTTAAGATTTGGGAAAGAAACTCTAAATATAATGGAAAACAAAATTAAATAAACATGCACCTAAATCCAGTCTGGTTAGCATGCTAGCAAACAGACAAGGCCGGAAAACATTTTTATAAGACATTTTTAGTTTCAGTAATATAATATGATCTGACGTATAAGTCGTATTTAGATAATTAATAATAATATAAAGTGATTTTGTAGGATCAGGCCCTTTGCGCAACACCAGTCTGAAGGCTAAGGCCCAATATACTTCAAGCAAAATCACTTTTACCCCTAAGCGAAGAACGAAAAATTACTTTTCCAAGGCCTTAATTCACATCATACCAACGAATGGCAACAAACACCAAATTCTAGACATACCAGAGAAATAAAGCTGAAATCATTTATGGGTTTGTTGACACTTGTAGTCCAGTTAACTTAGTTCGATTGGTCTGGACCAGTGTTGTAGTCGAGTCACCAACTGTCGAGTCTCGAGTCCCAGTGTCCGAGTCATCAAAGAAGAGTCCGATCTTCTTTGAAGGATGAACAAACAATGTTTTGGTCATCACATAAAAAATATCTTTTTAAATATAATATTTGAGTTTTGAAGTGCTGGAAAAAAGATGTGTGATGTAGGCTACTTTTTTTTGCCAAACTTCCATGGTTACAAGTTAGCGTTACTACATTAAATCCACGGTGAATGTTGCTGATCTGTGGACTTAAAACCTATTACTAGTTAATTCATTCACACCACGTCAGTGCTGTTTGATCAGTTAATAACGCAGAAATGTTATTAGTGCTTCTCACTTTTCTCATTATATTATATATATGTATTATTATTAACTGTTAGCAAGCTAAAATTGTTTGAAGAATTTGTCAAATTCTTATTTTTACCTGGGTGCGCTTTCCCATACTGTTTACTTGTGCAAGCAAAGGCAGCTGGGACATTTATTAAGCGTGTAGAATACTTACCCAACCATTACATATAGTATTATAAATTCAGACGTTTGTGATATATAAAAAAATAAAACATAAGATTATCTTTTAAAATCGATTGAACACAGAGCAGTTTTTCCTGTGAGTGAGACTGGAAAACCTGTAGTGGACTACAGCGGAGTAATAACAGAACGCTTAAGGCCAATTTATACTTCTGCGTCAAGGATACGCCGTAGTGTTGTGAGCATTTATACTTCTGCGTTCAGGTCTTGGTTGCTCTGCAGTACTGCTCCAAAACGCTAGTTGGCGGCGGAGGGTTTTAATGTTCTACTGTGTTTAGATTCCTCGCGGTTAGGTTACTAAAAGCATTAGTGACTGAAAGAGAGCGGATCATGTTGGAGTTGGAGGTTATTGAGGTGGAAAAACAGTTAATTTTAGTGAAATTACTAAAACTGAAAGACAGAAATGAGAGAAGACGTCGGAGGAGATGGTACGTGTGGAAATGCGTGAGAAGATACGTGCGGAAATGCGTAGGAGGAAATACAATGCTACCAAGCCGACCAATCACGATCTTGCGGTCCGCGTCGTCGCGACGTGTAGTTACATTTTTGAGGAGGTGCGCGTCAGGCTACAGCGAAGGGTACGCGATATGGGACACGTCTGTATGTATACTACGCCGTACCTACTGCGCGCACCCTACGCAGAAGTATAAATTGGCCTTTAGAGTGGAGAGGAACGTGCTGTCTGTGAAGCACAAAATGAGTTTCGTTCTGCTTTCATTACGTTTGCCATTTGATGTCGCACAACGTTAGGTGGTCGCGCCAGTGCAGATTTTGGTCGGCAGGAAAAATGGTCCAACTGTTCGGTTTGTAATGTGAGTCTGAGTCCAAGTACGAGTCATCAGTCCACGAGTCCAAGTCGAGTCACAAGTCCAGAGAATGGAGTATCGAGTTGGACTCGAGTCCAGAGAATAAGGACTCGAGTACTCCATCACTGGTCTGGACCAAAAAAAGAAAAAAAAATTTAGTACTGGTCTTCTTAGTGTTCAGATTTCCATTTATAACACCGAACCAAGACACCGAACCTAAAGGCACAGGGATTCACAACCTGATTGGTCGGCTTTAATGACGTGGAACTTACCAAACATTCAAAACAATGCTGTGCAATTCTGGGCTAAATGCGCTCCTTGTATGTGCGTTGCCAACATATGGTATTTTGACCAGCAGATAACTCATGACAAGCTTATAAAACGTGTAAAGGAGTCAAAACAGTGGAGGGAATCCCTCCGTTGTCACACACACAAACAAACATCTGCTGTGAGGAGATGCGGTTCTGATGCCTGTACAGAACTTAGATGGGCAACATCGTGACTATGATGAGAAAAAAAAAACAGGTATGCTTGAGCATTCTGTCCTTTTTAGGGTCTGACCTTCCTGTTTTTGGTTCGTTTAGATGTCTTTGGTCCATGTTCCATTCATATTTCATTCGAACCGCACGAGAGTTCGTTTGGAAGTGGACCGAGATCCATCTTTTCAAGGGTCTCGGCCCGCTTGTTTGTTGTGCACCAGGGTTCGGATGGCAGTATTCATATGAACCGCAATAACAGAACAATCGCATAAAGGTTCGTTTTAATTAAACCAAACAGGCCAAGTGTGAAGTGTGAATTTTATTGAAATTCTGATTTACTGTTTTGAACAACCTGTCAATCCTGCAGGCTGGAGGGAAAAGAACGCTTGGACGATATGTTCTCCTGGTTTGGCCAAGACGTTCATAAAGTCAACAGCACAAGCGGTGTAAGGCCTCAGAGTGTTGAAGATCTGCTCTGTGGGTGTGCAGTATAGCATCTGAGGAGTATTATCCAACAGGATGAAACCATGTCAGAACAGAGTGGTCCGTGCCAAAGGGTTGGCAGACAGAGAAAGGGAGTTTGGGGAGACAACATGTAGAGCAGAGATGAGGGGAGCTATGAAGGGAAAGGATACAGTACGTCTCTGGTATTCCAGCAGTGTTCACATCATTGTTTTACTAAAAAAATACAAACACACACACTGGCAGAAGGCCAGTACGGAGGTACTGCAGACCCGTGCTGCATCACAGAGACCTTCAATCCTCACAAAACAAGGAGTGTGTCAATCAAACACAGGAACACTCTACACACCTGTCATAACCCCACCAAATAACACCTTATTTTCCCTCAGCTGCGTAAACGGAAGAATCCGGAGAGACTAAGAAGAGACAGAAGGCAGAATATGATGAGAAATCAAACCTCATCCTGGGAGAAAAAAATAAAATAATACAGAGAACTTCCTTTATGGAAAAAGCTGAAACTATACCACAGGATGAACAAAAGATAAAGGCGTTTAGGTAGTAAAACCACAGCCGCAAAGAGTAAAAAACTAAAGTGAACATCACTGTCTATTTATGCTAAATTCTCCTCCGGAGAAGTTTTGCTACTGTAACCAATGCTGGCCTGAGATACAGTTCATGTGGACTGATGTACAGTTTGCAACGGGCATGAAATCAATCTGATTTA